CAGCAAACAATTTCATATAGTTTTTAGATATAAGTCACAGAAATCAAGATGAAACATGCGTCGGTATATATCACTCGTCTTCAGAAATAAAGGACGTAAACAAACATAATGATGTAGGAAATCCAGAGTAAATTAATAACCGAATTCGGTTGTATTTATTAATAACTTACATGCTGCTTGGCACGATTCGTGATCTCAAGAGAGGATTTCTATGTAGAACATATCATAATCGACACAACAATTTGTGTATATGTACATAAGGCTAAATCCCTCTGCGCTCAATTGAAAAGAAGGCTTAAACATTCTTCCAACCTGGATTGTTTATCCAAATAACTACATTTGACCTTGTTTATTTTCCATACATTCTACATACACACACTCAATTTCGACCCCACTACTTTATTTTATAAATGCATAGATTTTTCATTACCATACAAATTCACCATGATAAAGAATAACTTAACATTGACAAATTCAAATATATTGTGATTTTGATTGTACTAAAAATATTCTGCAATGTTTCCCTCGTACTATTTAAAATTGTGTTAATTCTATTCCGGTTATTTAATTACTCTGAAGAAGTGGCTTACATTAAGTCACGAAAAGTCAGAAATACAACTTTTCTACTCACTGGGATAGAACAAAAAATATATTTATTATTAACTTTCTACTCGGTGCTCAATTTATTGGAAGCCCTCAAGTTCAACCTTGGTACACAATGGGAGAGTAATTTTCATTAAAAGTCTATGTGCTATTACAACTATAAGCTTGATTCTAAACATATTGTAAATGGGAATATGTAGTATTATACTGACAATACTTGACAATAATTGTTCCATATCTGTCTTGATTTACATAGTTTCTGATATAGGTTAGCAGTGGTACAAGTAGAGTATTCGCATAATATCACTATGTTCATTATGTTATCTATCAATAAAAGAGACGTTCATAAAACCCTCTTTAAAAACAAATATTGTAATTTTACGTTTTAATTATCCACATGAATACCAATACTCATTTTTTCATTTAGTTAGGAGATTTTTGTTGAGATCCTATGTACATTTTGAATGTACGTTCATGACAAATGTCAAACCAAAAAAATTAAACCACGAGATCGATCAAATTTTACACTCCTAAATAGCTCAATTGTTCGAATTGATTGATGTCGAAAATGTTTGATTTCAACTTTACGTATTGAAAATACCCTCTTCTTCATGACAGTTGAAGGATGTAGTTTGAATCTCATTTGAATTCTTGACTCTGCATTTCTGAGTGGTTTAAAATAATCATGAGACTAGTTTTCTATTGCACAAGTTGACATCAGTTAGTCAACAAAGAACACCATAAATGTATAGTTCAACTTATGGATAATACTTACTACTTACGCCTGTTACTCCTCGTGAAGGAGCATAGGCCGCTCACCAGCATTCTCCATCCAACCCTGTCCTAGGCAATCCTTTCCAGCTCCTTCCAGTTGTTATTCATCCTTTTCATATCTGCTTCCATTATCCGACGTAATATGTTCTTAGGCCCTCCTCTTTTACGCTTCCCTTCAGGATTCCAAGTTAGGGCTTGTCTCGTGATGCAGTTTGACTATTTGCGTAATGTATGTCCTATCCATTTCCATCGTCTTTTCCTAATTTCTTCTTCAGCTGGAAGCTGATTTGTTTTCTCCCACAAAAGGCTGTTGCTGATGGTATCTTGCCAATGGATGTTGAGTATCTTGCGTAGACAGCTATTTATAAATACTTGTACCTTCATGATGGTGGTTGTTGTAGTTCTCCAACTTTCAGCTCCATAAAGTAGAACTGCCTTGACGTTGGTATTGAAGATTCTCACTTTGATATTGGTTGAAAGTTGTTTTGAGTTCCATATGTTTTTCAATTGTAGGAATGCTGTCCTTGCTTTGCCAATCCTTGCCTTTACGTCTGCATCTGAACCTCCTTGTTCATCGATGATGCTTCCTAGGTATGTGAAAGATCCTACATCTTCCAGAGTTTCCCCATCAAGAGTGATTGGATTGCTGTTCTCCGCTTTGAATTTGAGAACCTTGGTTTTCCCTTTGTGTATGCTGAGGCCTACTGATGCAGAGACTGCTGCTACACTGGCTGTCTTTGTCTGCATCAGTTCGTGTGTATGCGATAGGAGGGCTAGGTCATCTGAGAAGTCCAAATCTCCTAATTGATTTTGAGCTGTCCATTGTATTCCGTGTTTTCCTTCAGATATCGAGGTGATCATAATCCAGTCGACTACCAAAAGAAAAAGGAAGGGGGAGAGTAGGCAGCCTTGTCTGACTCCGGTCCTTACTTGGAATGCGTCTGTCAGCTGTCCTCTATGCACGACCTTGCAATGTAGTCCGTCGTATGAGTTCCGGATAATATTGACAATCTTCTCAGGAACTCCGTAGTGTCGAAGAAGTTTCCATAACGTTCTCCTATCTACACCGTCAAATGCCTTTTCATAATCAATGAAGTTGATGTACAGTGACGAGTTCCACTCAATTGATTGTTCGACAATGATCCGTAGTGTTGTAATTTGGTCTGTGCACGACCGATCCTTACGGAAGCCAGCTTGTTGTTCTCGAAGTTGGTCGTCTACTGCGTCTTTCATCCGGTCCAGCAACACTCAGTTAAAGACCTTCCCTGGCACTGACAGTAGTGTGATCCCTCTGTAGGTTTCACATTTGCTCAGGTCTCCTTTCTTTGGAATCTTGATGAGGTGTCCTTCTTTCTAGTCCATCGGGACTTGTTCTTAAATTATGAAGTGCGTTAGTTTGATAATATACAAAATGAGTGAAAAGATATTTCTCTTAGATTAGACCTATTTTATCTTAGCATTTAACGTGATAGATAAGTTTTACATCTAAATATGTAACAATTCATAAGAATCACATGATTTTAGAACATTTAACACTATCTATTCACACATGTTTTGGAAACATTAACGGTGGGTTAGTAATACAACGAATACTAAAATTAGGCAATCGGTTAATTATAGAAACTGATCATTTATGTATAATAATACAAATACGAAAGAGAAATGCGTCATTCTGAATCTAAGTGTATAATCAGATTAAAAACAGAGATCCAGGCACTGTTTGCTGGGAGAAACATTGGAATTATTTAAATTTCAATAGCTTAGATATTATTTCAAATATAATTTTCACAAATAATGTCTTCTCTATACTCAGCGCCCGATTTCTATCAAACTATTTGTTCAAAATATTGACAAATATTCATATATATCGTACAGATTGTTAACATCAAGATCAAATTTATTTGCGTAAATCACTGGTTTTTATTTTTTGTTTATTTGGCACAAGGGGGCACCGAATAGATATGTGTCACATAAATCATTCGATTTGTGTGACGGCTTGGATACTGTCAGGGTGCCCAAACCGAACGTCAGGAGATGCAGTCCCATGGTAGTCGGTCACCAATAATTGGTTCACACTCCATTTGTCTCCTCAGGATCCTGGGACCCACGTTTGACAGTGATTTGGAATCAGAGTTTTCTAACTCCTCTAAGTGGTTCCTCCTTATCCACCAACTCGGCTAGAGAGCCAGACATTCGCTTTTAGTCGTATGAATCCCGTAAACAACAGCGCCGCCGCAAGAAGGCAGTGGTTTTGCTGGTTCGTTCATAGATTATAGTTTCGCCATAGTTTTTCGAGTAATTAAACTACATGCTTATGAACAGAATATGATCACAAAATAAGCATAGCAAAATGATATGGACGATAAACGGAAATTAGTTGTAGGACACTCATTATCTGACCTGACAGTTAGGTCTCATCATTGGGGATCGTATCACATAAATGAATTCAAAAGCTACCACCTGAATCAATTAGGTGGGTGAGTGTGCCAAGATAAAGCTTCATATGAAACGAGGATATTAATAAGTACGATGATGAAATGGTTTAGAAGTACGTCTAGTGGGACTGGATTCACAAAGACAGTTTGATCATTAGAAGTGTGTCATAAACAACACAGAACTAGACACGTGTGCATCGGTTCAAGGTGTCACATAATATAAGCACAAATGAAAGCGTAGTAGTCGACGTTCTGATAGTGTCGATTGGTAGAACAAAATATTGGGTATACACAATATTATTAGGGTAAAAAGAATAAATAGAAAGTATGGGAAAGTTTTATACACTCAAGCTCGAGAACGAATCGGAATCATTGAGACCGGTTCTCAGCCACATAACCGTTTCCCAATCATTGGTTATGGTAGTCGCATGAACCACGATGGAACATGACGTTTTAATTTTCACTCTGAGAATTTATAACTGGTTTACAGATTCATGAAAGTTATAGTCTTGCTGTGTTAAATGCTTTTCATGGTATATGTTAGATGTCGTAAATTATTTAATCATAGTAGCATAGTTTACGTTTAACGATAACAGTAGTATTATGGTGAGTGCTACTTATATTGATATAAGTAGTATGTGACGCGAGTTAAAACGTAATATCCGGCAGCAGAAGATGAGGGGAAGATCAAGAAAGGAAGAGCGACAACACAATAGAATTTGTAAGAAAACGCATGAACAATGGGATGGGAGACAATGGATTGGTGTTTGCAACAGGAACAGTCCAGTTTGATATGACGATTTATTATATGCTTTTCAGATTTTATTGAGATAGTCTGTAATTGTTGTGCTAAATACATTCGATTGTCCCAACCCGTGTTCTTGTTCACTACAGTATGACTATGAAATATACAACAAACTTATAAGTTCGTCCTGTAAGTTAGAAAAATATCTTATTTGATTTTAATTTGAAAAATGTCCAAACATAAAATTGTTTGTAAAGTAGCACTGTGGAATGCCGGATGTTTGAACAAACCCAAAGTAATGAAGTCTTGTGTTCATGCGATTAGAATTTCAAACTTCCCACTAATTTTTAAAAAAGATTCAAATGGATTAATCTTTTTTACTTTAATTAATTGAAAAGAATAAGATAAAGACATTATTCTAAACAAATGTATACAAAACTCACGTTTTCTGAATTCATGGATATTGGAAGTGTTACAATTGAACGATTAGCAATAGCGTTGCCCAAATCTTGCCTGTTTTTTTTAAAAATCAAATATTTGTGGAATTAAAAAAGAGAAAAAACTGGGAAATACAGAACAAATTAACTACTACAAAAAGATGAATATATGTCATAGAGAAAATATTATAAAAGTAAACTGGTAACTTTAAAATCAATTAACAGATACATTTTATGTTTGTTCGTATACACCACTTTCATTACTGTAAATAATCATGAAATGAACGGAAGACTATCGGAAGGTAAACGAGTCAAAATATACCTCGAAGTCAAACTTTCCCCTATATAGAGAAGGATAAGAAACAATGAATATTAAACATATAAGGAACAAGAGAGAATTAAAAAGTTGTCATGATATCTTGTTATCAATGCACTTTAATTTAAGCGCATAGATTTCAAATTAACCCACTACTGGATTTGAGCCGATGAAAGTAAAAAACCCAGCAAGTTAGATAAAACTAACTGCTGACAAACTGATTGATTATTGCTATTTATTAATTTGATCATGAGTTTTCTCCTCATTTATACTAGGATTCATAAGAGTATTGTACACTGAAATAGTAATTCAAAATGTTACATGATGGAATTATCAATAGTTAATAAAGAAATTTCAATAGTTTATATCATGAGTCAATTGAAACTAGACCACCATGGAAAACCTGGAAGCACTGGACGGTCATTTCGTTCTGTTGCGGGACTCCTCAGTGATGCGCATCCACGCATCAACAATTAATATATTTACGGTATGTAAAAAACTGCTCGTGGAGAAGAATTTAATTAAATTAAACTTACTAAGTAATAAAGTACAAATTTATGTACTCACATTTCATCCGTTATGTACTTTGTAAAATAGGTTACTGATACTAGCTGACTGTTCAAAATGAATTAAATAGTATGAGATTCAAATGTGCAGCACGATGATTAAAAGTTCAGATATCCAGTCATTTAGTGAGAGCTCAATCAATTACACATTACTACTACGGTACCTTCATTGAACTCTGATACCGATTGGAGATGATGATGGCTAACTAATTCCATGTTTTGGTGAGTGGTTTTCGTCATGGATTGAAAGCCAAGGGGACTGAACAGGTCTTACAATCTATTTTATGAACTTCCATACATTACAAAACTACAACATAGTCAGAGGTCGATTCTAGGAAATTTAGGTCTCGCAGAGAGCGCTTAACCCATAGGTTACTGAGTGGAACTCAATGGGAAACATTCGTAATTTCAGTCGATTTGCAACATAGTTTGACGGTTATTTAAAGTTATTAGTGATTATTTATTTATTTATTATTTATTATGTTACATTGCCTTATCTCATAACACACAAAATGTAAAAAGTATTATGATAGAAAATGGAATCAAATCAATTCAGAAGAATAATTGTGGCAATTAACAAAATTTACACATCGGGTTATTATGTGTACAATGACACGCACACACAGGAACATAATATATTAATATACACTTTCCTACAATATGATTCTTTTTAACTATTTTAAGGTTTCCAACCCGTTTTTCTTCCACAAAAAGAAACAAATAAATGACGTTTACAAAAACTATTATTGAATTGTTTCTACCAACCAGCCCTTCTAACTATCCTTTCCCATTGAAGGAAAATAAAGCATAATAAATGATCAACCTTATAAATTTTTGTGAACAATTGTGACTGATTTCCTGGTAATTAATCTCTTATTATTTTGTGTTTTAATATATATATATATATATATATATATATATATATATATATATATATATATATATATATATATATATATGGAAGGCTTCTGTTACGTTTATTTATTATTTCAGAACATGAAAAGTGAATAACGATTCTTACAAGTATTATTTTAGTATTCCAATAGTAAATGCATTTTTTCTGATCTGTTGATTGATAGATTACATAATTAGTGCATAAATGATTTTTGCATAGTCAGTATAGAATTAAATTGAATGAGGTCAATGGTATTAATTGATAGATAATGCTAGAATTTTCATAGTAAAATATGAATGATTTGAAGAGCGATAAAGAAAACCAAACAGTCAAATCTACAATCTTTTATTTTCATTCGATATGTACATGGCTCATCTTTTTCTGACAGTATTACACATACACCCAAATATGACATAAATCTTTCATTTCAAGAATCCAGGTTCCATGCTGTCTCCTAGGTTTTTTATTCTAGAATATATATATATATATATATATATATATATATATATATATAAATTAATCACTGTGTCAATTTGTAAATAAACACATGTATGCACAATATTATAATACTGTTACAATTCTTGTCTTTTATTAATCTACATATCTGGATGTCGAATCAAAGTATTAAAAGAAAGTATGTGGATTTGTCTTTTATTTATTTAAACACATAAACATTGGTACAAGAGGGCACCAAATATATATGCGCCTCACAAATCTTATTTGATTTGTGTGAGGGCTGGGATACTGCCCGGGTGCGCAAACCGAAGCAGGTGGTTTTCTTAGGAGGCCACATCCAGAGACTTTGACCTAAAAGTCTAATCCACAAAGCAGTGGAGCAGCGTCAGGAGATGCAGTCCCATGGTAGTCGGTCACCAATAATTGGTCCACACTCCATTTGTCCCCTTAGGATCCTAGAGCCCACGTTCAATATTGGTTTGGAATCAGGATTTTCCAACTCCCCTAGGTGGATCCTCCACATCCACCAACTCGGTTAGAGAGCCAGACATCCGCTTTTAGTCATCTGAATCTCTTAAACAACACCTCCGCCACAAGAAGGCACTTAGTGGGACTTCCCTGGCAGTGGTTGTATGCACGTGGCCATGTGAGAGCATTTCGAGAGGAAGAGCTGACTCTTCCCAGTCTCGGCCGTACCAGGGCATTTAGTTAATATAAGTGACTAGTTTCAAAAGGGAATTTCCGGAACTCTAGTGAGAAGGTATGATCAATGGAGTCTAACTCGAGTCGAGAGTGTGAGGCAGTTTACTACCGACGACAATGGAGGATGGTCGCGCAATACATCATGGATTGATCTAAGGTGCAGGGTTTGATTCACACACGCGGGATCATGGATGAAGAATGCTGAGGAGGCCCACACTACGATGAAACGGTTATCCAATGCTTCCAGGTTTCCAATGGCTTTCTAACATTGATCGGTTGATTTCAATGAAACTCAATAATCTCCACAACCCTATACTGACAATTAATATTATTAATTACAGACTGTAGGTAGTTGTAAAAGATAATTCACGAAATAAATAAATTCCCTATTTCTTGTGTGACGATTATTGTTCGTGTTTTAGTAAAAGTTATAACACGGAGGAAGTGTATAAGATAAGAACTTTTTTAGAGAAATTGTTTAATGTGATCAAATCAACTAGACAGTTGGAAAAAACTAATTCCACCATAAGAAATGTATAATAATTAGCTAGGTTGAATCAATTATGGTTTTTTCGATTATAACATCACTTAAAAAAGCATTTGTTTATATGTTACACAACACAGTGGATAGAAATCCCGTTGCACAAAATATATATGTGAATGTACGTAGATGTACATACGGATATAAATAACAATACAAAAGAAGTATTGAATAAGAAATATAACGTAGTTTTGCAATTTTTAAGGAAATAATCTATCTTGGTAATAAGAGGAGATATTGATTTTAAAGAGAACGTTGAATCAAACAGAGGTGTTGGCAATACATACATACACAAACTCATGGTTTCGACAACATTTAATTGAATACAAGCAACTGATAGTCGAATTATCATCAGAATGGGCTTTGTGGAGATTTTTAGAAATTTCACAAGTTGAAATCATGAGCCAATTGAAGCTAGACCACCATGGAAAACCTGAAAGCACTGGACGGCTGTTTCGTCCTAGTATGGAACTCCTCAGCAGTGCGCATACACGAACCCGTCCCCACGGGATACGAACCCAGGACCTACTGGCTTCGCGCGCGAGCACTTTACCATTAGACCACTGAGCCGGCATCCGACGGTGTTAATGTCTAACTCCAACCAATCCACGAAGTTGCGCCACCGTACACCATTGTCTTCAGTGAGTTCCTACCTCACAACAGATCTGTTTGAACTCCACTGGTAACGACTTCTCACTAGAACTCCAGGAGTGCCTCCTGAAGTCAGTCACTAGTGAGCAGGTGATTATTACTATCAGAATGGGTTTTGTGGAGTCAGTCAGGTCAGTCAGCTACAACGTAGGACCAGGCACATATATGCATCGGTCCAGGTTGCCATACCTCGTTAGCACAGCAAGATGAACACCGGATTCATGGGAGTGGTTAGGTTAAAGGTGGTAACATATAGGAGAAAGATTGCATATAAGGATACAGTACCGGAATATAGAATTAGTTCGTAGAAAGAAAGATATGAAACGATTTAAATCTCTTAGTTTAAGGGAAGACACAGAGAGAGTATACACCGACGCCGTTGTGATCGATTCTGAGCCATGTCACCAAGAGTCTCCAACCATCGGTTACGAAAGTCACGCGGACCCCAACCAAGTAGTCTGCATCTACCAACATGGCTCAGACTAGAGGTTAGTGTCTTCAAGCACTGATGCCAAGTTCTGCTTTGGCCACCCCTAACTTTCTTCCAACCATCCCCTACACCGGATAGCATTGCACGTCGCGGTAATCGGTATTCAGGCATACGTAACACGTGGCCCAACCATCTCGGTCGATGAAGATTAACAACCTCATCAACTGATTTACCATCATTACCTAATACCCTGCGTCTAACCTCACTATTACTTACCCGATTATCCCAGCAGACGCCAGCAATATTTCTAAGGCATCTGTGGTCAAATATTAGTAGCTTACGAGTAACTTCTACTTTTTATGGCCATGTTTCGCTGCCGCAAAGTAAGACAGAACGGACTGCCGCGCAGTATACTCGTCCTTTTGTTGGTAGACGGATATCTCGCATTCGCCAAAGGTAACGTAAGTTGACGAAAGCCAAACGAGCTTTTCGAATCCGTGCTGAGATTTCGTCCGATAC